CCCCAAAACCCCAAAACCCCAAAACCCCAAAACCCCGTGTCTAAATCTTGAGATTGAATATATTTTTTATAAACCTAGCCCTAAAAATGTCAAGTGTAAAATTATTTTAGTCAGCTGTATACAAACTCAAGGATATTAAATCCTAAATTTGGTAAATAACTCGACGAGGGTTCCTACTCTTGCCAGATGGTACAGTTGATGCATGATTATGACGGCGCTTCTTCCATTGGTTTATCTTTGAAATTATCGCTCCATTGTTCAAGAATTCTGCTAAAACTGTAAATAACTTAACTTCAAATTCCCAAAGGAGCGTTAATATCTCTTTCTGAGCATTTGGATTAACTTTCACATTGAGTTTTCAAGAAAATTTAATGTTTTTCCACGAACAAATTAATTCTTAGTTGTACCATTTACGAAGAAATTCAAATTTTTAAGCTTTGGTGCTGAGATGGAAATTTTTTAAGAAAAACGTGCTCGGAAGCAAAGAGATATTCACATTTGGCATACCTTGCCTCCCCAGGCCTCCTCCAAGATCAGGTAAAGAGATAGAGTCGTGGTTTATAATTTCGTTTGATACATCCAGAATTGACTTGATCGGGTTCCTTGGTTGGGACCTAAAGAAAGATAAGCTGTTGAATCTAACTTTTAGTGGTTACAAATGTAGTTATAAGTATGCACAGAGGCTTACTTTGGAGCAATTTTTGAACTAGTCTTGTCATCAAGCTCTGCTTTACAAATCTTGTACACTACAAATATTATTCTTGGATTACCGATGCAGATTCAGATTCATCAGCACAAAACAGTAGTTCCCACTGAAATCAGAATTATTTTTGTGATTGAGGATGAAGACTCTAGAGGCTAAATAGTTATGATCACGCATGAGGGCTTACTTTTGTAGCAACAGTGAAATCTACTAAACCATGGCTGTAGCCATTCGGTATGACCAATATTATGATCTGCTTAGTTCTGGGTACATTAAGCACTGTGGATCCAGAATTTGAAATATTTTTCAGAAGATTAAAGCCATATTTTGAGACTTTCTCAACCACATCAAGCCTTGCTGATTCTAATTCCCTATAAACCATTAGAAATGAATTTTATTTCAAGAGGTGAAAAATTTCTCATGACCAAAGAATATATTTTTCGATAATAAAATACCTGACTGTAATTTTAAGGTCACTGGGACTATTCTCCTCCGCGATGAACAAGTTGTATCGGCAAAGAGTCTCGTGAGGTGATTCTGATAAGTTGACATCATGGGAATTTCTAAAGAAGTGTTATCGTTAAAGTCAGCTACTCTAAAATGATAGAATTTTAATAGCATAATTTTGTTCTGAAAATAACGCATAAAAACAATGCTCACGTGAGCACAATATCTTGAGTTCCTCAGATATCTTGGTCGTAGTTACAAGTCATATAAACTTTGGCTGCAAAGTCTGCCTTATATCCATCAGATCACTCCAAATCAGGTGCCACTGGGGCGTCTATTGAAGCTCAGAGCCCTTTGTCATTGGAGTTAAGCCGCTGACAAAATTTCGTATCGCTACTTTTGAAGCATTCAACTCAAGATGGCCCTATATTTTGGGTTTTATTAATGTAACCAAATAGAGCTAAAAGTAGGATTTAAAAACCCTATGGAGACTAAATAGTTAAAGTAGTATCCTATGCCTCAAATTTACATGCTGAGGAGGAAGATCATAAAGAAACATAAAAATGTACCCTGGAGTTTTTATGTGTGCTATTTCATACCTGTGTATGTAACCATTGATCTTCTGCTATTAAACCTGGTCTTCACTAGGGTATTTGCTGAGGTACTTTGGAATAGAAGTGTGAGTCTGAAGAAAAAGTTTAGCTCAATATCCTATTTAGTATACAGGGAGAGGATTCCCACTTACACCAATGTTATTATTAAAGAAAGCATTTCAATTATTATTAAACATTATGGGGTTTTGGGGTTTTGGGGTTTTGGGGTTTTGGGG